CTCCATCACCAACCTGGTAATGGCATTTTGTTTCCTCCGTTGCATCACATATGCATGAAAAAATTGAGTATTCTGGTCACCCTCCTTTAGCCACTGCAATCTAGCCTTCTGGTGCCAAAATTCCTCCTCAGAACAGTATGCTTCTTCCAATTCTTTTTTAATTTGGTCCCATTCTTCCCAATTTCTATCACCTGCTGCAGTTCTCATCTCTTCCAATCTCATAGTCATGCTTTGAATCTTTCTGTCTCTTTCAGTTTTAAAATACTTGCTCCACTGTAGCAAGGCTTCTCTTGTTTTCTTAATTCTTTCTTTGATTTTGTACATGGGGGTTCCTTCTTGCCTTGCAGTCCAGGCCTTTTCAACCACAGCATGTAGGCCCTCCTTCTTAATCCATCTACAATCAAAATGAAATCTACCCCTGCTTTTCTTTGCATTTGGCTTTGATTCCACCACCAACATTGCATGATCAGATGTTGTTCTGAGTTTTGAAGTAACTTGAGTGTTTGGATGTGTTCTGAGCCACTCCATGGACACAAAAACCTTGTCTAAAGCTTCTTCTACAAAGCCCTCAGCTTCTCTGTTGTTCCCCCAGGTGTATGGATATCCCTGCAACTGAATTTCCATCATGCCCATTTGAGAAATAAAAGCCAGAAACCCTGCCAAGCCCTCTTTTGTCATTCACACTAGTTATATCGTTCCAGTCCCCTGCCAAGCACCATCTATCTCCCCACTGTTCTTTCCATTGAAATAATTCTGTCCACTGAGCCTCTCTGGTACTAACATCTGTACTCATGTACACAAATATGACCCATTGGCTCCATTCCTCCGACTGTAATTTAAGTTGAACCTCAATACAAAAATAATGTTTCCTTAGTTGCAGGATCTCCACAGTATCCCCCCAGAACAATAAGAGACCTCCACTCATTCCAACTGGGTCCACCAACTCAAACCTGTCCTTATAACCCAGTTTTTTACAAACCGTTTTCATAAAAGCTTGCTGTTTTTTTGTTTCGGATAGGAAAATAAAATGCGGGTGATGGGTCCTGATGGACTCCTTGACCTGGGGAACTGTAGAGGGCCCACCCAAACCTCTACAGTTCCACACTAGAGCATTCATTGTTCACCCCGTGGCCACTCAAGGCTGGCCACCACCACCTCAGATTCTGTCAGCTTGACCTTTTTGCCTTTACTATCTTCAGCACTCTCCTTTTCACTCTTATTGGATCCATCTTCAACAATCCTGCCCCTCTTGCTCGAGGTCTTGGCCTGCGTAGCCACAATTGTGGTAAAGTGTTTCTGACTTCCTTCTTCTGCTTGGGCTCTTTTCCAGCTGTTTGGTTTTCTGCCTCTTCTTTTAGGTAGAGTTGTCTCCTTTATCTTTGAAACAACCTCCTTCGACGGTGACATACGTACTTCTTCGATTGTCATTTGCTCATAATTTGCGTCCTGTGCCTTTTGTATCACCATTAAGGCCGCATAGTTCTGCTGATCCTCTATAGTAGGTAACAGTACCTCATTCCTCTCATTTCCCCTGTTGTGCCTCCCTAATCCGCAGAGGTTGCCATTTTCATCTTCATGCACCTCAATAGGAATTAATTGTTTATCTCCATCGTCTATATTCTCAGGTACATTATTTTGCCCTTCTGCCACAGAGTGTCCCGAGAAATTTTAGGGGGTGGTTATTTTAGGCTCACCTTGGGACTCAGATCCCGTGCCTTGACTTCTGCTAACCATACTTACAAATGGTGAAGCTTTAATCCAGTCGCCATACTTACCTTCTTGTATATTGTTTCCTTCAATATCCACCAGGCGATTACTACAGCTTCTATCCAGATGCCCAATTAAACCGCAGTAATAACAAAGATTTATTAATCGTTCGTACTTAAAATGGACTTGGACCTTTTGTTCCCCCAGCCTGATATGGGTACATCTTGGCAACGATTCCTTCAAGTCCACCGTGGCCAGCAATCTGATGAGTCTGCCTACTTGATTTCCAGCAGTAGTAATAGTCACATTCCTGACCTTTTTGAAAACACTTCCTACCTTGAGACCCACCTCGACACTCATCCAATTCAGCGGGATATTATGGACTTGAATCCACAGATTTAGTTCATCGAAGCACGGGTGGTGTTTATTCATTCCGTCTCGCCACTCTTTCAATATTAAATATTGATTTTCGAACATCCAGTTGTTACCGGCCGCAACCTTCAGCATATCTTCCTTCTTAGTGAAAAGGAATTGAAAAAAGTTTTCGTCCAACTCTCTCACCTCCATGGGGTTTTGAATCCTCCATATTGCTGTCATGGCCCTTTTAATCCCCAGAAGACTCGCTTTCCGATCACCAATTATCTTCCCGAATAGACTGCGATTGCAATCGTCAGCGCTAGCTTTAATATCCCCAGTTTCTATGCTTATTTCTCCTGCTTCTTTTTCCGATAAAGAGAATTTTTGAAGCTTTTGTAGAACATCTTCATCTCCGAAACCAGAGCTCTGAGAAGCCATGATTGGGATCGAAGAATGCCCAGAACTCTAATCCCCAATTTTACCCCGCTGCCAATAGAATCGCAAACACTCACTCTAAGAAAATATAAGACTAGATCGAAAGGATCATGGTGAACAAATTAATGGAAATTAGGATTTGAAGCTCACAAAAGATCGATTAGGAATTCCTCACTTGAGGGAATCGGAAAACCTCACCAAGGGAATATTACGCTCTCACTCGAGAGAATCAGATATTTAGTTTTTATGCGATTTTGATTAGCCAAAAAATAGGAAGAAAAAATATCTCCAAAATTAAGTTAGATTATTTTGTTTAACAAAAAAATAGGAAAGAGAATCATGAAAAATCGCTTGAGATTAACAAATCTATTATCCAACATATTACCCATGATTTCTGGCAGCAGTTTTGATTAGCAAAAAAATTAGGAATTAAAAAATAAATATGGAGCGAAAAAAAAAAAACATGTGCATTTATGGTTTTTGACGGCAGTTTTTGGCGGGAATCTAAAAAATGTTATTCTTTTAATATATAGATAGATGATGAGCTAGCAATTATATATATATAGATATATAGATATATAGATTAGATGCATTAATTAAATGCTTGATAAAAGTAGCAAATCATTAATTATGGTTGACTATTCTACGTAGTATAGCTTTTTAATATAAGTATAGATATAGATTACATCTTGTACAAGTTTTTAACCTAAACAAAAGAAAGGAAAAATACTTGTTCTTTGAACTCGTCTCCAAACTAAAAAGCGCTCTCATTCTTGTATGTAATCTCTCTCTCCCCCTCTCTCTGCTTAGATTTTACCTTCATTCTTGTAATCTCTCTCCCTCTCTCCCCCTCAAGATCTCTCTGCACGGGATTTTGCTGATTAGATTATTTTTAACACAGGGTGAATTGTCGAACAAATCTTATTGAGTAGCGCAGATCTTGAGGTTTGTTTAACTTTTCCCTTTCAATTTCTTGTTTTTGTCGCTCGGGCACAACACAATTGGCTTTATCTGCAGTTGTTCAGTTCATATGCAACAAGATCTCAAATGGGGTTGCTCCATATTTTTTTTTTCATCTGTGCAGGTTTTTGTTACAGAAATGGATAAGCTGCAATGGGGGAACAGAAAGAGGCTGAGGTGTGTCAAAGTAAAAGACTCTTCTTTGAACGGAAAATCAGACGGCGGCGGCGGCGGCGGCGGCTGTGGAGGTGTTGTGAAGAAGAAAATAACTTCACGGGTGGTGGATAATAATAGCCACAGCAACATGAACGGTAGTAATAATGTTAATAACATAAGTAAAGATGCCCATTTTCATCATCCACCTGCTCCGTCTCCTCATCGACCTAACAGGTGACATGAGATTTAAGACATGAATGAGGCAAAAGATTAGATTTTTATTTTGATATATGTATTGGGGTTCTATGTTTGTTCCAAAAGGTCTCCTTTATCTTTCTATAATGGGATATTGCTTGCTTTATTGGAGGAAAATTGGATGATTAGATTTGGTTTCTGCTAAAAAAAAATTGTGATTTTGAAAATGGTGATATTCTTTTTTATCTAATTTGTGTGATAGATTATGCAAAAAAATGCATTTTGTGGATTTTACATTTTTGTAGATGTGTATAGTAAGTAAGATTTGGGTACATTACTGGTAAAAAGGAACTCACTGGATAAGTAAACTTGGGTATGTTCATGGAGTTTGTTGGGGGTGTTGATTAGATCCACACAGCCTCTTCATCCTTCGAAAAGCTACTTGACAACAGCTATTATTATAGTAAGGTTTTTTTGGGTTGGAACATGCGCCGGTGACGGTACGGAATTCAACCCAAATCAAAAAAGAAGTTGTTTTTAAGAAAGTTGAAATATGGGTTATCAAGAAAAAGAAGTTGAAATTATTATTAGATGATACAATGGTGAGATATTCAGAAAGTTGTTTTTCAGGGAATTGGGGATGAGCAGATCTATCACGAACGAGTGCCGAAAAGCATCAACATCCTCGTTATCGACCGAGAAAGAAGACAGGTATTACACGACCAGGGGATCGGTCGGGGTCGGGTTTGATGATGGTGGCAAGTATCCAAAGGAGGAGAATAGGAAAGTTGTTTGGCCCAAATTGCTAGTTTCACTGTCTAGCAAGGAGAAAGAGGAAGACTTTATGGCCATGAAAGGTTGTAAACCACCTCAAAGGCCCAAGAAGAGGGCCAAACTCATCCAGAGAACCATATTAGTAAGTTTCTCAATTTGAATTCATTGATTTAGCATTTAACTTTTGTATGATCTTGGTTTTGTGGATTGATTGATTACTTTATTGACATTCTTACAAAGCTTGGTTTATGGGTTTTTGCAGTTAGTGAGTCCTGGTGCATGGTTAACAGACTTGTGCCAAGAGAGGTATGAAGTGAGAGAGAAGAAGACTTCGAAGAAGGTAATCAATTTTGGAACATAATTGCAATTAATCTACTGTATTTATTTTACAAAATCCCCTTCAGAAAGAAGTCCAGCTTGTAAAATGGAAACTTTTGTCAAGTGGGTATTCGTAATTTTGAAGGATGCTTGTGTGTTTTTGCTGTAATGTAATTATGTCGGCAATTTAATCTGGATGAACTACTGCAAAATGAGACCTTGGCCTAATCATAATTACCGGTTCTCTTTCGTAATGACCAGTTCTCTTCCGTTCGCATTTGTTTCTATTCTAGAATAGCTCACTCTTTGGTGGAGCATATGTTTAACAACCTTTGAAGAGTGTATGTGAGGCCTTGACAAGGTGTCATTTGTTTCAATTATAAGTTGTTTCGTAAAATGACTATATGAGGAGGGCATTTACTGCTGAAAAATAACAAACCTCGTTTGATGTGTGTTTCGAACACCTTTGTCGGGCTAATATTTTGAAAGATTTAACCTTTTTTGGAAAAAAAAAAAGAAAACTAAATCTCATGAGTAGTACTTTCAGTCTTCACCCATTCCAATTTACTACAAGTTATTTCAAATTAATAATATAATTCAAAATGTGTTTTAAACAGAAACCCAGAGGACTGAAGGCCATGGGAAGCATGGAAAGTGATTCAGAATGATGTGCTTAAGCCCCCATGAAAATGAAGAGTTTGAGAACGAGAAATTCTTTATGGGTTTTGTTTTAATATGCCGACCGGGTGAGACATTTTGTGCTTTCGGCCCTTGTACTCGTTCAATAGAGCTTGGTGATTTTTAGGCATAGCCTGTGTTTTTGGCAGCTAAGGCAGTATTGGTCTCTGCTAGCAAAGTTCTTTTTCTCCAAATCCTCTGTTGTTTTGCATTACTCCCAATTTGTGAGGGATTGTAGCTCCTCAATTGACTACTATTTGTAAAAAAGAAGAAAAGAAAATCGCGCTTGTTTAAGGAGATTTTCTGGTTTTGGTTGAGCCATAAAACTAATGCTCTGCATTGAACCGGCCTGATTGATTTGGTTTGTTTCTGGTTGAGGTTTTCTTTTAAATGTAGGCAGTCGGTACACATTTACTCCACCTATTTAGAGTTTGATAGGTGGGATTTTGGATGTTTTTTGTTAATGTCCCAAGCAAATGAAGAAACAGAGGCCCTTACAACACGAGCAAAAACAAATCGAATCCCGGGACAAGCAAACACGCTGCCCTAACGAAATGTTTTCACTGCGATTATCAAAGACGAACAACGAAACTAATAATTCAGCAAATGCATGCAGTTTGCAGAGAATATTTGCAAAGAGCTACAAAACAAAAGTGCAGTTTATATAATTTTATAAGTCTATTGTTGCTCTGCTTCTTCCTAACAGCACAAAATTAGTGCTGTTAAGCACCAATTTCTTGTAGAATTTGCCCACGTGACAATTTTGAAGATGAATATCTCAGGTTTGTAAGATTATAATGGACGTGATGGGAATTGATGAGGCCTTTGGACTCAGTGAAGCCTCCCTCCACTTGGGCTTTAATAAGTAGGCTTTTGCAGGAATTGTGGAAGATTTATTCTATGACGACGGAGATTGTCAATATATGGAATGGATTCCTACTTGTGGTTACCAAGTATAGGAACCAATTTAATTGAAACTAAATGCATTGTTTTCTTCATCTAATCGGTTGCATTTTTGCACATGAAAATTTTATTGCAAACTGTGTAACATACTCTAAATTTATCAGTTTTGCGATGGAGTCATCCACACTTATTCACAAATAGTGTATTGACACGTGTTCTACAATAAATACACTTTAGACAGGTGTCAATATATTAAGGGATGGATTGCTCCATAGAATTTTTGCGGAACTTATGAACTGAATGAGAATTTTCAGTACTTACAACTTGAACTAGAAAATACAAAATAGTACAAGAAATATTGATACGTGAAGAGAATAAGTCGTGGATAGAAAATCTATTTCTGCAAGACAATTACACCATGTAAAGCACCGACGGGTCTATGGGTCTTGTTCCTAAATTTATAATATAAATGTTTTGAAGGCTGTAGCGCACCAGACTTTCGAGCTTTGAATAACTAAAACAGAGTTCATAATTGAGCACATTTAAGATATGATGCGTGAGGCTTTAGAGAGAGTGAAATGATGATAATGTTGTGCCATTCTACAGCTCTTCCATGTCTTATTTACAGGACTTCCAGCCAATTAGGGGACGACCAAAGTTCAGTTGCCACTAAAGGAAGGTAACAACCCAGTCATGGTTATTGTAGTTATAGCGGGACTTAGCCCAAGGCTCAATCCCAAACTGGCCCATATCGTCCAAGTCGTCCAATTGCCAAGCACAAGGACCAATGTTGAAGATCCAAGGCCCAGACCCGTGCCCGTGCTCGAGCCGAGTGCTGCCGAAGCCACCACTAACACTTGGTGCATAACGTTGTTGTGTGTGACCTCTCCAACTCTCTTTATTATAATAAACAGATTTATCCTCATATGAGAATCCATTGTGAGATAGGACTCATAACCTTCGAATTCCACAACCATCGTTTTAGGGGTCCATTAATGTCTAACTTTAAATCATTTATTTCTCTCACCCAAAACCTATTTTGATAAAATAAATAGACCACGATTATCTACTCAGAACGTATAATTTTTCTACACAATTTGATTCACCCCAAATTAACATTGAACCATCAAGAAATCAGTGAAAAGCGGATCAAACCCCATTTTTCAAAATTGATTTTCTAACAAATTTTTATCCAATAATTTTCAAATAAGAATAATTCTGCACTATTGGATTCATCAAATCATCAGACATGATCAAGTCAAATTTTAATATATGGATTTGACTACTCATTAAATGTATTTGGGACATTAAGGCTCCGTTTGTTTTGAGGGATTTACTGAGGGATTTGAAATCCATAGATTTCAAATTTACAAGTTCAAATGCTCATGCATGTTGGGATGATAAATGAAGTTGGAGGATTTCAAATTCATGCAAAATGTTTTTTAGTCATTATTTTGAAGGATTTGAAATGACTCCTCAAACCTAGTCATTTGAAATCCACTGTTGACGACCATGCCGTCGGTGATCATTTAGGTTTATCACTACCGGGAGTCAACACCATCGGTATGAGCTAGACAATTTATTTATAATATTTTCAACACATCCATTCAAGGAGTGTGCAAGTAAAAAATTTTATATTTCAAAAATTTTTAAATCAATGGATTTCAAATCCC